ATGAAGATGATGAGGGTGAATAATGACAATGATAAGGGTGAAGTGATGCTGGTAATAATAAGGGTGATAATAATGCTGATGGTGATTATCATAATCATTATCATGAAGCTTGGTTTCCATAGAATTGCTACAGTCACTACAGCTTTTTCACTGCACTGTGTAGCTGTCACCGACGCAATCAGGAACGCTCCCTGATTCAACTGACCAATCAAAGTTGCCAAAGAAGTTGGCGATAGCGTGTAGCGATTTTTATGGAAACAAGGCTTTATATGATTAGGATGCATTATATTTTTAATTATAAAAATGCTTCATGACGATGATAAAGACGATGGTAATGCTGATGATAAGGATGGTGTTAATGCTGATGATGATAAGGACGATGGTAATGCTGATAATGATAAGGGTGATGATAATAATGCTGATGGTAAGGATGATGGTAATGCTGATAAGGATGATGGTAATGCTGATGATGACAAGGATAGTGGTAATGCTGATGATGATAAGGATGATGGTAATGCTGATGATAAGGATGGTGTTAATGCTGATGATGATAAGGACGATGGTAATGCTGATAATGATAAGGGTGATGATAATAATGCTGATGGTAAGGATGATGGTAATGCTGATAATAAGGATGATGGTAATGCTGATGATAAGGACAATGGTAATGCTGATAATGATAAGGGTGATGATAATAATGCTGATGGTAAGGATGATGGTAATGCTGATGATAAGGATGATGGTAATGCTGATGATGACAAGGATGGTGGTAATGCTGATGATGATAAGGGTGATGATAATAATGCTGATGGTAAGGATGATGGTAATGCTGATGATAAGGATGATGGTAATGCTGATGATGACAAGGATGGTGGTAATGCTGATGATGATAAGGGTGATGATAATAATGCTGATGGTAAGGATGATGGTAATGCTGATGATAAGGATGATGGTAATGCTGATGATGACAAGGATGGTGGTAATGCTGATGATGATAAGTCTCTTATACACATCTAGATGTGTATAAGAGACAGCAACTATGACATTGTCCCAAAATAAATATACATAATGTAACATTCAAATAGCATATTTTATTACTAAAACAATGCATTTTACTTGTTTTACTAATTGAAAACAATGAATATCAGCACCAAAAATAATAATAATAACTACAAGTGCTTTTTAAATATTGACACATATTTTGTAATCAAACTTTATATACTGCCCTCTAGGGGCAGAGTACATCATGACCATTCAGTCCCTAGAGTTTCAAGAATGAATCAACATTTACTTGCTGAATAAACGTTGGAAAAAATTCAATATAGAAAATGTACATACAATTTACAAGAAATTCATTCTACACAAATTTGTAATAGCAAGTCAATTTAGAATTCTGAGCAACTGAAATTATGAGTCAGACAGAGAAATGCCTCAAATCAGTTATTATTCTTTACGGAATGTAATCTTCTTCTCTGTAATATAGAAAGGCAATTGAAAATTCTTCCATCAACAATATGAGTCAGCGAAAAGAGATACAATCTGTTACTGAATTCCTTACGGAATAGAATTTTCTTTCTCATTGTAAACATTAGCATTATTATCATAAACTTCAACACGTCCTGACTTCCACTGCAAATTTCAATGAGAATATATTTTAGTTTATATACAAGTATAATAACATGTTATATTTTGTCATATTCTCTGTTTTAATATATTTGTCATGTTTGTGATCGAGTATTTTACTTTTATGAATTTTATTCCTATTATTTATTATACTATTATTATATTATTTCTATTCATTGTGGCATTTGAAAATGTGTAAAATATTAAACTTTAGTTTATTCTAAAAAAAGATGCATTTCAGGTTATTATTAATATCAACAATTTAACTTCTAAAATAACATAATTCTATGAGGAATAATTACGCATAAAACAAAAATAATTGAAGTTGCAAATTATGCAAGTCGTGAATATGAATCAGTTCATTAGAAGCTGGAGACTAATAATCATAATGTAACAAAAGAGCCAATATATTTACTATGAATTTTTTTTCCTGATATATTAAACCCCCACAATTTCAATAAAAAAGATTTTTTTAGAAAAAATGCATATGCATTACACTAATTATCATAAACAAAGGAACAATATAGGCATAAATTTTAGTTTTACGCAAAAAAAAAGAGAAATACAGAGATACAAATTCAGAGGTTGTAGATCACATCCGCAGGAATGCTCTCGCTTTTATGTATACTTTATCGCAAAATCAAACATAAAAAATTCATCAACATTTATTTTTTGTGTAGAATACAAAAAAAAAATAAATAAAATTTCAGTCTTATTTTACATTTTTTTCATGTTTAGGAATGTCTAAATTCAGTTAAACTAGCAATTTCGTATTATATTTATAAATCTTTACATAAACATTATATAAAAATCATAGTTTTCTTAACTAAAATTTTGCCAGGAATGGGGTTTTAATATGAATGTCTAATGATAAGATATTTCTGAGAAAATCAAATCTATTCTAATTCATGATGCAAAGAATAAAAAACAAAATATATTTATTATCTGTTTTGTAAATTCAATAAATTTACAATTTAAATATATTATCTAAATCAGATTAAAATGTATTCAGTGTATAGCTATGTAAAAATTACATTTCTGCAATGCTTTCAATTTGAGTTGAATTCCAACAAACTCTCCATTGGACAGTTGGTTAAGGTATCATTAGAATATCTCGGGTTAGAATCTTGGTTGGGAAAAATACTTTTCACACCCGCAGACTCCTGTTATCAACTCTCAATATTTCATGAATCGCATTTCTGCAAGACGATTAAGATTTTACATGTAAAAGACCAGAGGAAGTATAAATGTTTTTGGAAAATATATTTTTTTCTTATGTACAGTATTTTTTTCAAGTTCCAATATATTGGCTGGCTGCATGATTTATTGAACACCTTTGCACTACCATTCAGACTGAACATTTCCACTAAAAACATATATTCTGATTGTAGCTGCTATAGACAACAAGACACTACTACTAGGAAGAGCTTGTATCATTTATTAACTCCTTAATCTTAACCTGCAGGACTTGGCATTCAGCATTTTGTATTAGTTTGTATAGATGGTATAATATTACTGTCTTTCTACTTATACCCCTACTATTATTTTCTTGGAAATGCACACATATATGGTATTTTAATAATTTGCAAATAATATCAAATTTTATTCATGTTAAGTTAAGAAAATAAGGGTTAATTCTCACCAGTAGATTTCAATATATAAATATAATATATAACATATATATATATATATATATATATATATATATATATAGGCCTATATAATGACTGAATAAAAAGGCATACTAAACAATAATAGGCAATCAAAAAAATACAGATGTGATAGAAAATATATAAGTCAATGGGTCTATACGTTAAAATAAAAAAAATAATATAGGTAATATAATAATAATGAAAATAATAGTAATAATAATGATAATAATAATAATAATCGTTAAGGCGAAATCATAGACAAAAGAGTTTCCCCCTAAGAGCCGAATAAAGGTAGTATATATATATAGTATAGTATATATATATATACATTTGCATTCTTAAGGCAAATTATATATCTATGGAGTTTTACTGTAATAGGAATTTTATGTGTGTTTAACTGTCTCTGTTTTATGGTAGGCGCATTACTTGTTGTTTAAATATTGTTATTTGACTGCACGTTGATTGATTATTGCTTTTACAATTCTAACAGCTTACTTTGCTTTAATTGTTGTAATTAATTTGATAAAGGTCTATGACCAAAGAAGACACTTGTCAACTTACTTTAAATATTACTTCTTCACTCTACTATATTTTCTCATAGTTATCATTGAGAATTTATTATTTCAGCATTACCGCAAAATATATAAAGTTTATAGCTCTTCATATGAATATTTATATAAAAGTAGTTCGTCCAAAATTTTTAATTTTCTCAAGATGATTTATAGCTTATCCTTTAAAATATTTTTTATTTCTTTGAAGTATTTCTCCTTGTCTTTTCTATATGTATTACCACAACATATCTTAGAGCTCTTCTAGTTATAATATTTAATACATATTTCTGAAACCTTGACTCTTCTTTATGTAATTTAGCATTACAACAAGGTAGTTTAGAGCTAATACTGTATATATCATTATTTCTTTTCTATGAGTAGTTCAGTATTTAATGCAGTGATGGTTTAGATCTTATCTCTTTGTATATTATTCATTTAAAGTATATCTTGATTTTTTCATTATGTCAGCAATACTGCAATATAGAGCTTATCTTTTTTATATGATTACTTATTTAAAGTACAGCATGTCCTCTGAGATACTGTCTTGTCTTTATGTATTTTGGCATTACCTCAAGATGGCTTACAGCATATAACTTTATTATTATTCATTTAAAGTTACCCTTTTTGAGATAGTCTTGTCTTTTGGCATTACCGCAAGAAGGTTTAGCTTATCTCTGTTATTATTTATTTAAAGCATCTTTTCTGAGATCATGTCTTGTCGGCACATGCTTCATGTTCACCTCTGTTCCACATGAGTGACTCGTGATGTCTCATTAAAGTCAGGCTCCAGGGAGGAAAAAAATGTTTTGATATGTTGAACAACTGATTTTTTCTAAGACACAAAGATGAAAAACTGACAAAACCGATACTGAGATACAGATTTTTGAATAGTTAAAAACGGGGGGAAAAGGTGGAAGAAATGGTGGTTACGCCCCCTTTGTCTCCATTAAAAAAAATACTGTATTCAAAATTTGTGGAGCAGGTAGATCCGAGTTTGATTCTCAGGTGCAATAACGGTTTAGATTTATCTTTGCACACGTTATAGTATTATAAAATATATATACACATCTCTTAAAGTAACTCAGAATAAACATTAATCTCAACAAACCTTTGGCTATAAATTAAATATACTAATATTCATCAACAAGTTAAATATTTAATTATTTTTACCAACCTGATGTGTCACATTTATCCAATGAATTTGACTTTGGCAACGACATTCGCTGTTCATCCATACGGTTGCCTTGGAAACGACTTAAGAGGTCAAAAAAGCTGTCATCAAAATCAGGAGATGAGTATTTCTATAGAACAAAAAAGTTAGAATTATTCATAAGGTGGTGCATATGCTTGAATGAGCATAAGCACCACCTTATGTATTATTCATAAGGTGGCATAAGCACCAGCTTATGTATTAATTATAAGGTGGTGCATATGCTTGAAGGAGCATAAGCACCACCTTATGCATTATTCATAAGGTGGCATAAGCACCACCTTATGAATTATTCATAAGGTGGCATAAGCACCACCTCATGTATTATTCATAAGGTGGTGCATATGCTTGAAGGAGCATAAGCACCACCTTATGAATTATTCATAAGGTGGTACATATGCTTGATTGAGCAAAAATGTGAAATCATAGTCATTCTAACTCACTTGTCAGATTTCTCAATGAATTCTGCGAGATGACATTCAAGACACATTTGCGTTTGTACGGCCGCCTTTGATCACATTAGAAATAATATCAAGATATGACATATACAACACAGTAATAACATAACTATTAAAAATATCTGCAAACCTGTTTCCTAATACCACCTGCAGAACAAATTCATAACCAACAATAGCTAAATTACTCATAGTATTAAGGGAAAAAAATATTGATTGCTTTCTATGAGCAAAAGATAATCTATAATAATGTATATCATAAAAAACCATTCAAAAAATATATTTAAAAAACACCTACAGTATAATAGAACATGCAGGCCTGGAAAATTTGTTTTTGTGTCTCCGACCATGAATATTATCTTCATCAAATGCCTTTAGGACCAAATGTTATCTTTACAATATTATAGCGAAACTGTAGTACATTTAGTGGTTTGGAGCAAGCAAAAATATTATATTTATGCATTAAATTGTGATGTGAATAAAAAAGAAAATTTTTTTTTTATAAATGCCTCCTGGTTAAAGTCAATGCCTCCAACCCCCTGTTCGCGTACATTTCCCAGCCCTGAGAACACAAGGGATACCTTAGGCCTAAATGACTGTATTTATGAAAATATTTATAAATACATTGGGTTAAAAATTAAAAAATTCAAACATCACAGTAAGTACAGACTCTTTGGTCAATCAACACATATAGCATCCATCTGATGCTCACCAGAAAAATCATTAAACAACTAATCGTGGGCATATATTCAGTAATTATTTAGACCAAGATCTGCAACTGGCTCCAGAGTTCTCAGCTCAAGAACGAATACATCGGTCTTGTTTCTCCCCAAGTCGTTTTTAGACTTGTAGTGATTAAGTGTTCGCAGTCAGTAGACTGTGGAATAGCCTGTTCATCTTTAACTGTGATTTTCAACATCTAAAATAAATTTTCCAAAAATTGTAATTACTGTAGGTTTATACATGCCCCCACAATTACACTATGAACTGACTTTGGATAATAAGACTTTTTATACATTGTTTTATGAACTTATTTTTTTAAAGATCGCGAGAAGAGGGTGGAAAAACAATAAAATTAAAATTTCATTTTCCTATTTAGCAAATAGTTTTGACAAAAACGTCCAGACGGAGGAGAAAATAAAAATAAAATTCTATTGGTGAATGTAAACAGTGTAGCAATGAGATAGTTAAATGCTTTAAATTTATATAATTAGGAAGAATTTATTTCATATCTTATTTTTGTAGATTTCAAAGCAGCAGTGGGCGTAATAAAAATAAAGAAAAACTTTTAATTGTTCTGAAATTTTTATTTTTTCTTGCCGGTGGTTGCACTAATTGGCCAAAAATAAAATTTATTTTTTATTCGAAATCATCATTATTGACGAGTGGCAGGTTTGCTAAACAAGGTATGAAAGAAGTCTCGCCTAAATGTTTGATTCTCTTCAATTGCTTTCTTAATGAATTTTTTTTTCTTATAGTTATTTTCTAGTTTTAGATTAAATATATTAATATATATGATTATATTACAGCACCTTTAAGAAAGTCCTCAGCAAAACCTAAGATACTTTAAAAAAAAAAAAAAAATCTACTGATAGCTATTACAGATAACCTACCAGTAATAAAAAACCTGGAAAACCTCAGAATTATATTAAAACAGTGGAGTGCTCATCTTCAAGGAGACACAGGTCAAAATAAATCGGTTTTCACTGTTTTCCTGCGAACATCCTCAAATTGATCACCAGTCAAACATAAAAAGTACATCAACAGGTGTGATAAATTGGCAAGAAAAAACATTTTTTTCTGAATTTCAATTGAAAGCTTAATACTTAGATACAAAGCAAGAAATATCAAATTATATTTTTTAAAGTTTATTATCTAAACACAGTAACTGTAAGTTTATATAATTAACTATCTAGGTAAATTAATACTACTAGTTGAATTTAACTACTAACATACCATTGAGATTTATTGACCCTATAGTAAAGTTAATTAGACAGCAGGACTTTCACATCAAATGTCAGAGATTGTAACAATATTGATGGTGTAATTCTCAGCATATGGTCCATTAAAATACCATTTTCCATAGCATAGTCAATGATTTGGAACTAAACTAAAATAGTGCAGTAAACTTAGGGGTCGACATAAATTAATTATCCTCACCCAGATTTTAAACCCAATACTCCCTCCCTCATACATGTGTATGAAGAAACTCCAAAAGAGATATAGATGAAAATTGGTTTTTCGTTAATGCTACCATGATGACGACATTGTTGATATTATTACGATTACTAATGTATGATTGTCATGGCAATTATGATGATGATCATGATCAAAGACAATTTATGAATATCATGACATTTGTCATGTTGCATTTTACAACATATAAACATGATAACAAAGGTTATGATAATGATTAATAATCATGACTATATTGATTATTAGCATCTTCATGATGATAACCATTATCTTGATCAATGTGACGATTTCTATGATAATGATCAGCATGACTATAATGTACTGATTGAAAAATCATACCTGATTCAAAATCAATGTCAACATGATCCTAATCACTGAACTAATAGCGAGATTTTGCAACCTTACAAAAACAATAACGAATACAGCATTATCATTCTCGTCATTCGTGCCCAAAACATTCTTGGAATATGCTGTATGGGCTGAATACGATCCTTCGTTGTGACAAATATGCTACAGTAGGGGAAGGGTTGCATAACAATTTTATGATGTAACCGTATTTGTTATCATTTTCGTAAGCTTGCAAAAAAAAATCCTTACTATTAATACTACTATCCAAGTACGAAATCACACTAAACTTAGCTAATTTTTTCCCTATTAACCATAATTGTTTTTGCAATCCCAAGGTACGTCAAGCACATTCAGTTTTACCTTTCCTTCTATTAGCTTGTGGATTATCTTACAAACAGCATTATACTTTTGATCCGCTACGTACGATTTCAATGCATGTTGGAGACAAACCTATTAATGCTAAGGACTACGAGGAATAGAGATTCAATTTCTGCGCCTAATGGTATCAATCCATGAAGTCTAAATTATCGTAGCTTTTAACTGTAATGGCAATTGCACCTACATTATTTATCTTTCAATACAAAAATGAACCTGACATTTTGAATATTTTCATTCATATTTCAAAAATATTTTATAAGAATATTTTTAAATGTCAAATTTTTAAAAACATTACACCGGCTGTTGAGTGTGAATTTGACATAGGTAATCCATAATGTGTTTGCTGGCAAGTCCAAATTACGTAATGAGATGTTATATTCTTGTTCTAAACTTCAAAAATTAATCGAAGCTAATACTTTAAAAGTAAGACAGTTTAAATTAAATTTTAATTGTATGTTTTAATGCTATCATATCAAAGCATCATTTGAAAAATGTCAGATCTAAATATTAATGTCTACATTAACTTACATAAATGTATAGTACAAACTAAATTCATAATTCCTGGTATGAAAGTGGAGCTAAAACATTATAATTATAAATTCTATAAGAACTGAAATAAAAAATATGATTTCTTAAAAAATATAAAGTTAAAAGTTATTAATACTGTACAATGAAATATAAAACAAAGTATTACCATGACAAAACACACATGGAACACAAAAACCCTATAATTTCTAGGAAATTACATGACCGTTAACCTAAAAACATATAGATAAGCTGACACTAAAATATTATTTTATACAAAAAACGATAACACCAATGACAATGACAAAAATAAAATAATCATAGAAAGTAATAATGAAAATTTATGATGGCAATTATAAATCTATTAAAATTTATTTATAGTAATAAAATATTAGTGAAATAATAACAATATAATTTCTAATCACAATTTTGAACATAATGAAAATCCTGAAAACTGTAATAATGAAAACATATACCACTACTCTTTATTCGACTTACCCTAGGGGGCTTTAGATTAACCGTGACTTGTCCTGGGTCTGTTGCTTTGTTAGCGCCGATGCTATTATTAGATCCCGCATGCACTAACTTTTCTTTACTGCTCTTCTCCTTCACCCGCGCTCCTTTCGGCTTCCCGTCAACTTGGTCTTTATTAGGTTTCTCTGATGAATTCTGCCATCATAAATAACAAAAAAAAAAATGTTACCTCTGGGATTTTGTCTCTAGCCGTATTAAAGCAATACTTAAAATCGGTTAAACTAATTAGAGACTCAGGGGATTGGTCATTAAATTTTGTGACAATTTAAGTTAAAGATGGAGACACTCGCAGCCTATTATCATTTGTTGAGCTTCAACCAACATTGTTCTGAATAGATTTCACTTCGGTGGTAGGAAGCCAAGAAGATGATGAACAACTCGCAGTCGTTTACATCCAAAAGGATGGGTAGGTCTTCAGTTAATAATTTAATTGTATTTTAATTATATTTTAATACGCAGTTGACAACTATGCCAAACATCATAGGTGAAGCCTCTCCAACAGAGACGTTATCAAAGACTTAATCAATCGATGACAAATTACGGAATTTTGACTCTTTGTATTGTATGAGAGTTTGTCATGGTCAAAGCAGGTCAAAGTATAAACATATACTGTATATATTTATAAACTCAGAGACAGAAAATTTATATACAAGAAAAAGATGTACAAAATAGGCTCCCGCCGGGAGTACGTGTCTACTGCCGACCTATTTAATAACGTAGTTAATATTGTTCTGATAAACGGTATAAATAATCCTGCAAATCATACATCATCATTTCTGTTTTACTGTACAAACAATACTGTACAGTTTAGGCCTATAGGTTTATGGGTATAATAATACCTATCAAAAGTATCAAAGATGCTAGAATAGAGTACCTGCCCTCATGAGGGTAGTACACCAAAAACCTCAAAATTATTACTTTCTTTTTCTATCTTGTGATTATTTTCAAATAAAAATTAAATTTGACTTTTTTTTGCCTGCTAACAAACGCTCCACAGTGAACTGTTGGAAATTTTTAAAAAGTCTGTTTTATTATCTTACATGCTGCCATATCTCATTATAAATATAATATTTTGCGTGTGTTCTGTTAATTTTTGGCCTGTTAGCATACTTGTTACTGTGAAACGTTGTAAATTTCAGAGGAAAACTAAAAAAATTCCAGTACCACAGTATTATCTTAGATGCCATCACCATATATCATGATTGAAATAATTTTTTCTTAAAACTAAATAATTAAAAGCATTTTTCAGTCAATTACTGAATATTTTACATTGCCACATTGCATTTGTTACACGACAATGCATTGAGACCTATAGCGATGCCCTCAGGTTTAACATCAAGAACTTGCATTTTTGTTATACATCAATTATATCTTTATTTTCTCTTTTGCCTGATGCTTCTGGTACAGTCTGCTAAAAAGTTATCAAAAACAGTTTTGACTCTTTTTTTTCATATTGCCTTCAATGTTTCTTTTCCTTCTGTTTCTATAATTTAACACCTTAGTCACATATGTGGGTCTTACAACACTTTAATTAATTTGTAGCTAACAAGTGCATGTTATTATTGAATTTCATGAGGTTGTATTAGCAATTTCTACAACATAGTCAGCTGCTGATTGGCTGAGTGGATTGCATGCCAATACAACCTTAGACGCCTACTATTAATAGACGCATATATATTCCTCTTCACAAATCCTACTAATAAAAATTCTAAACTGTTCTCTGTAACGATACACCAGAGAAGTAAGTATTCTATGAATAATGAATGTCAGTTGATATTAGAGTAAAGAAGGAATGTCATGAGAAAAACAATACCCAGGCAAACTTAACAATAACATAGAAAACGGCAAAGGTTTCATACAATGTTATAAGGCCATAGTGAAATTTAATGTTCAGGATTGGATCATTTTACATAAAATAGGTACATCATTGTATTGGTCATGAGACTAAAATTACAATGATCTTAATGACTAAAATATTAGTTAGTAATATACAGTAATTTATTTCTCCTTGAATATGATATCAAGTTGGTATGGAATCAAGGCATATTCCCGAGAAAATATCCAAATAATAAGTGGGCCCATAGGTTAATTAGGCTAGGTAAGTCCAGATTAGGCCTAAAAAAATCCAACCTAGAGTCAAACCTCACAAAGATGACCAATGTAGTTGTGATGTTAGGTAGTAGATTAAGAGATATAGTAGGTCTAGCTAGCATAATTTTAATACTTTTTATTTCTTTCTTTGTTCATTATGTATTTACTTTGTTACTTGATTATTTTACTGTTGAATCTGTACCTCATATAGGTGACCAGTACTTAAGTATTGAAAAAGTATTTCCAGATTAAAGAAAGATTTGAATTGAATTTAATCATATTTTCATCATTGGTATCCGAACAGATTGTTTTTAACCACATGCTCAGCCTACCACTGATATTTAGGCTGAGGAGGAATGCGTCTGGCAAATATTCAAACAGAATATAGAATTGCTTGGACGACTGTGCTCTTATAATTTCTATTACTGACAAACTTTTCATATTGATTCTTTTAGTTTACATAATTTTAATCAAGGTCTGAGCTCGATTGCTGTTGATACCATACTTAAGACATCCTGTTACTGACGTCAACTTGCTGGACGTAAATGAAATTACTATTTAAAAAAATGTTTTATTCAATATGTTATACTACCCTGGTTTTTTTTAACATCTAAGTTTGATATCTGGTTTTTCATTTATGTTTGAATAGATTTTTTTTTTGGATTAAATTACTTGAAACATTATTAATTTTTATTCTATAAGCTTATAAACAAGACACTAGTCAAGTCTAATTATATTTTTTGTACCTGCATTAACGTAATGCAGACAATAAGAAAGTTGAATAAAATTAAATTGTCACCTTATCTTATGCACACACTTCAGTTATCTAGCTAGGTTAATAACATATTATGTTTCCCTTGCTATCAGTGCACTCCTTTCTCAATCTAATGAATGATTCAAATCTAGCATTTATATTGAAAACTCTAGTAATTAGTAGGGCCCAAATGCTTTTTCTGTTTCTACAACATACTCACTTATTTTAATAAAAATAATAATAAGCCAAAGGAAGTTTTTTAAAATATCTTAAAACAAATACATTATTATTGATTGTTAATGATCGCAAAAAAGGACCTTAGCTTGTGGACACAAAACGAAAATGGCACGTAGAGAAAAAAATAAGCAAGTAACAGATTATTGGTAAATTCCTTGATTTGTACTTAAACATACTACAGTATACAGTATTACTGCAACATTTTCTCTATTGACCTAATAAATTTGAAATATAAAATATATATTATAATTAATTAATTGCATGCTTTGTACAATTAAGCAAGTTATTAGCTATCAGTTGAAATCCTTTCCTAATTAACAGACATGTAATAATCTTCCTAGACTCTTTGCGTAGACTCTTAAATTTAGCTGGTGGAAATCAATTTATGGATTCTCGTAAAAATTTAGCAGTAAATATATCCAATAGGTTTCGTTGAAACCTAATATAAACTACCCAATCAATATTTAAATTTTTTAAGGTGTTTTTCCCCCTCACATTTTACAACAAATATATCTTTAAATAATATTCAAGATTCCAAAATGAGTTGTGTTGTAGGCACGATTAAATTGATATATTCAGAAAATGGGTATTAAAAGTGAGGTTTCAGCATTTCTGAAAGTTTAATATCTAAATTTGACAATATTGTGAGGATGTTTTTTGGAATTATTTAAAAAACCAACAAAAAAATAATCCATTGACAAAAATTATTAGTCTATTTTTAGAAGTGATGTTCTCCAAAGCATGTTTTCAGATCAGAATATTAAAATGATTATACTCCCATAGCTTAATTCAAAGACAAAAATAAAACTTATATGATGTGATCCATCTCAATTTATATCAATAACACATCCTTTTTCTTGCTCAATACCAAGAGACTCGTTTGTGATAACGCTTCAAATATAAGCAAAGATGAATGGCTGGATCATTTCTGTATTTTTTAACGAATATTATATAGGCAGATTTTATGTCTTATCGGTATAGATGGTAAAAAAGACAACTATTAACAAATATGTTCAACTGTAAAGAATCATACTTAAACCACTTTTCCTGAAGAATTGAAAGAATACTTAAAAAAGGTTGGAAGTAAGTTCAAACTCTTATTCCATTTCCAATTATTACAATAAATAAACCTATCTGAAAAATAATGCAAGAGAAAAGGATCAAATGTTTTGATAACTTGAAATAAATTATTTAAAAATGTCAATATAAAAAATGAAATATTTAATTTATATAATTAAATATGTTGACATTTATTAATACTTAATTTAGTATTAAATATTATTAAAATGTGATGTTGATATTTATTAATATTTAATTTTTATATTCACCGTCAATAAAAAAAAATATTAAGCAAATTTATATTTGATTGCTTATTCAACATTAACATAAAATTATGATTACTGTATTATATTTATATACTATATACTTTTATTTCTCATTTAATAACATTATATATAAAATATAATATAATTATTATCATCATTTCAGTTTATACAGCAGAATAAAAAAAAAAAAAATTATTTCGCTCTCATCCAACAGCAAGTACACTCACCACTTACAGGATGAGAATGATGCTTTATAAACCAAGTCTCTTTAGGAGTCTTAGGGAGTGGGGTAGTTTTTAGTCGTGAGAAAAAGTCCTGCTGAGACAGGAATTGAACCCAGCATCCTGGGATCAGAAGGGAAGCACCTTAACCACTGAGCTATTTTATAGTTTTAGGTGTAATATAATGTAAAATTACCTAGCCTAGATAGAACTCTATCTCAGAACTTACTTGTTTTAATATATAGCTTTGGCTGGTAAAAAAAAGTTTAAATGAGTACATAAATCCATAAAGAAAACACCAGAAACTCATCCGAATTCCTCCAACTATGCAGATACAAGCAAGAATCCACTGAAATTAAAGCATCCAAAAATCATTGAATGATCTAAACGACGATACACCGGCACTGGTGAAAGTATGCAGGTTCGAGCAGACGAACCATAGAGATAAACCATTGGGCTGTGTGGCACTTGACAATATCAAAACTACAGAGTATTAACCAGTCTCAA